TATATGTCACACCTAATTCATTCCTGCCATTGCACCACTTAGTCTCTGGAGCACAGTTCTTGTGTCAACATTTTTCTTTTATTCTGTATGATGCAAGTATTTGGCCTGATTAAATTATAGGTTGGGTACTGGCACGCAGTGTAAGAATATCAGATACACAAGAGGTCAGATTAAGTAGCCCCAATAGTCTCTTTCATGGAAAAATGAGACCAAATGGAATCATTAAAAAGCACCAAGTAATTTCAAAGCAGCAGGCACTGACAGCAACTCACAAGCAAAGCTGTGACCTGCACCACCAGGTGATTTAAGTGCCCACCTGGCCTTTGACTTAGCTGACACTGCTGTGAGTGGCACAGCTGGATGCTGCAGTGACTGTGTGCACCGGTGGACAAACAGCAAGATAACCTTGTGCAAGTCTCCTCCTGAACACCCAGGTCTCCTTGGATATTCCTGCAGTGATTCATTCTGACTCCAAGCTATCCAGACAGCCCAGTGAGTCCTTCACAGGAGCAGCCTGAGATGCCTCAGCCGGTGTCTCTGGGGGTTGCTGCCCTTCCAGCACTGGCAGTGGCACGTTGGAGTCTCTGCTGACTTCTCAGTATGCAGGGTCATGCTGCCTCTCCTTGGAAACAGTGCTTTCCACTGTGCAAATATTAAAAGTAACTTGTTATGACTTGTTCATTTAAGTATGGAGTCAGTTTGAAAGCTTCAGAAGAGTGAAGGGAAATAATATTTTTAATTGGATTTTTCCATTGATACAGAAATAGAATAGGAAATATCTAGAAAATATTAAGTACAGCTGTCTCATTTTAATGAAAAATGTAAATGAAATGAAAGCAAATGCATTTTTATTTAAATGTCATCACATATCTTTGTTTAAACCTTCAGTCTTTCTCATCATGGAAATGATCTTTCAAACCCCATGAATCTCTAGTGCTGGAAGGGACCCCAGCTCTTGGCAGGTGGCATAACCACTTATGTTCCTGCTGGCTGGGTTTGTCACAGCTGCTGAGTGCTTCTGGCCACTCATGACAATCAAACTTCCATTTCCCTTCTGTCAGGCACTCTAGTTTTTTCCACAAATACATATGAGACCAGTACTCTGCAAAAAAGGAGGGCGACTTAAATGTGAGGTAACCAAGCCCAGGTTCAGTAAAAGTGCTCTTGACTTTATTCCAGGCTCAAAAGAGATGCCAGAAACTTCCCTGTGGTTCATTTAAGATGTCACAGTAGTTCACCTGGATCAACCAGCACATTTGGAGTGTGAAGGCAGAGAGAGCTTGACTAGAGCTTTCAGCAGCAGCCACAGAGCAGTTGGTTTTGCAGAACAAAATTTTAAGGAGAGTGTTTTGGGGGTTTATTCTTATTTTCAAGTGAGTTAACACATTAATGGCACTTTTCTTTTCTTTGTATTTTTTTTTTCCCCTCAAGGAGCCTAAAAGCATGCAGGAAAAAATACAGGGATGCAATAGAGTGACTGTGCTGCCTGGAGTTGCCCACCAGTCAAAGGGTGGGGGAGCCTCCATAGCAGCTTCTGCCAATGGCTCTGTTGTTCCTGCTCCTGAAGTTCTGTGAACTGTTATAACACAAAACCACATTAGATCTCTCAGCAATCTGGTTCATGTGGGTGATGAACACCAGTGTGTGCAGAGTGCCAACATTGCTGAGTACAAATTAATCATGAATGCCAATGCCCTGGTTCAACAGACACTGGGCACAGTGACCTCTTTCTCCACCATCACCATCTGAAAGCTTTTAAAGCCCAATTAGATGAATAGTGAGTACACAGCCTTTTCATGGACAAGTGGCAGAATTAAAGCAAGATACTCAGGCCTGGGGATTTCTTTAGTGTTCACCAACACAGATTGAGATCTAAGCAGCTTTTAGGTGACTTGCATCTGTGGTGACAGTTGGGAAACAAACAATTCTGCAACTAGGAAATGTTACAGAATCACAGAATCACTAGGTTGGAAGAGACCTTTAAGATCACTGAGTCCAACCCATGCCCTAACATTTCAACTAAACCGTGGCACTCAGTGCCACAAACATCTTTTTTTAAACACATCCAGGGGTGGTGACTCCATCACCTCTCCAGGCAGACAATTCCAGTACTTTATAACTCTTTCCATAAAAAACTTTTTCCTAAACCTAAATTTCCCTTGTTGCTTCCAGATTCTCTTCAATTTATTATCAATACAGTCATTTTCAGAAAAGATTGACTGAGAAATAATACATGCAATTGCTTTATCTGACTGCCTTGTTTTCTCCTCCCTTGAATGAGTCTACCTAATGTCAGACTCAATAAAGTCAGGCAGCTGGCTGTAAGGAACAAACAGACCCTCATTAGGGAGGGCCCTTGTGCTGCTTTTGTTTGTGCTCATCTGCTTTATGGGAATAGAGGAGAAAAGCATGAATATTTAAAGCACTTTGCTGTGGCTGGAAACCAGCTGAACACAATTTTGCTGGTGTTTTGCCCCTCTGCCACCTTCTCCAAAAGGAAGCCTCAAAGGCATTTGACCACTCTGCTCCATTGAGACAGAAATACATTTGCTAGGCTGAAACAGATCGTTGTGTTTAACGTGCAAATGCTGTCTTCTGTTAAAATATCCGAAATGTTGATGTGAGAATGCATGGTTTCGTGGTTCCTGTCCAACAGCCCCATCCCCAGAAGAGCACTTGGCCTGTGGTTCCTCTCCTTGAGCTGCATTTGGGTGCCAGCCTGCTGCAGGTTTGGCAGCAGCTCGTGCTGGGCAGAGAGCACAGAGCTCCTGGCTGTGGCAAGACAAACACACCAGCCAACAGATCAGAGCTCCTGCAGCAGGGCACAAGATTTAGTCAGCTTGCACCCCATTCTTTGATGTTGTATTAAAACTCCCCAGAGTCTCTGTTTCATTCAAAACTGTGATTTCACTTTTGGGTAGATGCATCAAAAGAGCACAAGCAGGGGACCTTTGGCATGGCAGCAGCGGGGGGATGGATGGGGAGTGGGAAATAGAGCTTCCTGCAGTTCAGGCTGTCACTCCTTATCATATTCACGGGGAAAATGACCTGGCATTCCTTGGAGAATATGAAGCACTGGGGTTTGCACTGTTGTTGCTCAGCCTTGGGAGAGGATTGAACTGATTGGAATAGGAAAGATAGAAAGATGCATGCTCAGAGACTAAGAATAGTGTTACAAATAACTATGTAGATATTGTCTTTAGCTATTATTAGCTTTTTAAAATTATTTTCATATAGTACAGTTTGCAATCTCTTTTGATATAGCATAATTTGTGAGCCTTTTATAGTTAATATCCTAATCCCTGTATAGATTGTATATCTTAGTGTGATAAATATATAATATAGTTTAGGCTTTCACAAAATATTAAAATATAGATTATATACTGTGTATTATAACATTAACTTTTGCAGAAGTAATCATAGTCGTAAAATAATAACTAATGCTTTTATTTTTGTAACTGACTGCCAATAGTGAAATAGCTAATGTTGATTGAAAGTACTTGTAAAAATAGCTACAACGTCTGTATGATAAGATAACATTGAAAAGAACCAGACAAGTAACACCAAAAGCACAAGGAAGAATATACCACTGACCCTTTGGCTATCAATAACTGTCAAACCACAGACCAGGGGGCCTAGTGAAGAAATCAAATACAAGACTCTCAAAATCACATCTACATTGTGGCACGTACTCTGAGAAGATGAGGTCAAGGGTCGAACTAAGATAAAGAATTCTCAAAACATGTAAACTCAAAGGAATGCTTGAATACATATCACATTCATTAATATGCATTTGACCAATACAATGAGAAAGTATATGAGAAGAGTTGTTATAGTTAATGGGGTGCTTTTGGCAGTTTGACAAAGCACCTCAGCACTGGTTTTTGTCCCTTTTATCCATTATTCAACTTCTAAAAATTTTAAACAGTGAACTTTGTTTCTCGCAATAGTATTAATCCTATCTTTGTAAAGTCATTATTTTTCAACTGTATATGAAACTTCCATTCTGAAAAAAAGTGAGTGCAAGGGAAGCTGATTCCTAGAACAAAGGTGCAGAGTGATAAGGTGGGATACAGTATCTATGTTCTTTGTCATATACTGCATTTATATTAAAAATCCTAAGGGAATTGAACACAACCCCTGTAATGAAAAGGATGGAGGACCAAAACTGTTTTTTTTGTAGAAGCTATGAATTATGTAGAAATAAAACTCTATCTGGAAGATAGGAAATGGAGTGCACGACCTCATGAGCTTCTCTGCAGCTGTATTCCCTGATTCCCTCATGACTGAGAATCTGGGAATTGTGCTGCATAGTTCCCATGAGCACTCCTCTGATTCAGGCTCTGCAAATCCCAGCAGAACCACATACTGGGACACAGATACCTCTTCTTTCAGCATGAGAATGCCTCATTTTCCTGAAGAGTCTGATCCACTGATTTACACTGAGATGAAAAGAAGGACACTGTGAGATTTCACAGTTAAAGTACTGACATAAGTAAAGGCAGTCTTAAAATAGGTAGAAACAATGTTTTGTTTCTCTGTGGGTTACCTGTGAAGTTCTCTGGGATCGTGGAGTGCAAATTGTCCGCAGGGAGATGACATTTCCTTCTCAATTGTTCTTATTCACGGTGCAGTTATGTGTACTTGGCAGTTCTTTTATAATGCAGCACAGGTTCTAAGGGCCACATTAACCATGTCATTAACTCAGTCCATGCCTTTAGGCACTCTGCAATGCACTTGGGCCCCTTGAGCCTTAAGAGTTGGGGATAATGTGAAAGAAATTGGTGTGTCTTGGTGTCAAATTCTAATGAGGCGCCACATGGAAATTGCTGAGACACTCTGGAGAACAGAGGGCAGGAAATACACGTCTCTCCACTTGGGAAGGGGAAATCCAGGAGAGTGAAAGCTGCAAGAGCCACAGTGGAGAGAGCCATTTAATGTGATATCAGACCACCAAGGGGGGCTGATTCAAGTCGCAAGCCCATGAAAAATTGCAAAACCCAAATCCTTTGTGAAGGTTTATTTAGAAAAACCACAATGCTGGGGAGTCACTGTTACATAGCGTGGTAATTCTCTTCCTCTTGAGTAATATGCACCACACTGTGCGCATGCAATTCCTTTTGTTCCAGAGATAACATCGTCACTTATACATGTACACACATGGTCCTCAGTGCACGCTACACTTCACAGGGATGTTGGGACACGCACAAAGTTGAGCTTTTCCATGAAAAAACTGTATAAAAAATACAAACCAAACTGAAGCAATCAACACGAGAAGCAATGTGCAAAAATAGATAAAGTTACTCCTGAATGTTTGCTTAAGAAAAAAGGACTCTTCTGTCCCTGTTCCCCATTCAGCATTGACATTGCCAGATGTTGTCTGAAAGTAGGATATGAAATAACTTGTCACATCCTGCCCCCTTTATGTCAGTTGCAGAGATTTTTAACCAGTTAAATAATCCTGTATTAGTATGAAAATCTGCCTCCAAGCATCACCATTGTGTGCTGTTGTTGCATCCAACACATCTTTATGTTGTTGCAATGTGTGACCTGTGACACTGGAGGCTGGTGACAACCAAGGCCTTGTGTGGAGCACACAGAAGAGGCAAGATAAAGAAATCCCTGGTCACTGAGCCCCTGGCAGGGGCTGGCAGCAGCTGCCTGGAGAAACAGCCAGGGCCTGGGAGCTGTCCTCACATGTGCTGGAAGGAGCCAGACTCCCAGGTGCTCTGCCCTGTCTGCCGGCCCATGGTGGGGCTGGTGTTTGAGATGATCCCTCCAGGGCAAGGCTCCTCCCTGCAGAGGAACCTGGCTGTGCAAAGGGCACAGCAGATGGAGGGATGGAGAGCCCACAGGGCTGTCCCCAGCCAGGCACCTCATCCATGGTGCACTCTGGGACTGCTAAACATGCATGGAGCCACTGACTGTAACCAGTGTGTGGCTCTGAGCAAAGCTATACAGGACATGCTGCAGACACCATGAAGCAGTCAGACCAAGCCATCCTTGTGAAACTCCTGCATGCAAATACCAACACTGGCAATGGCAATTAAGACTAGAAATGGATTGCACTTGATTCCCTTAAACACAGATACGTACCACTCTTAAAGAAAAAAATAACCATTAAAAAATCTTCAAAGGATTGATTGATAATTGGGATTCTCTTGGTTGGATCAAAGGAAAAGAACAAGAAATTAGGGGCAGTGTGATTCCTATCACTGAAGGTTATCAGTAACATAATCTTTAGGCTTAGTGGATGAGGATTCTTCCCACCCATGAAATTTCATGGTGCAAAGCCCAGTATTCCCCTTGTAATCCAAATGCTTTTTAAGGATTCTATTTAAGCCTATGCAGAGTTAGGACTGTAATACAGAACTTGTAATTAAAAAAAAAAATTAGTTATCAAAGTTTTTCACAGCAAATCCTGCATGGATCCAGGGAAAACCTTAGCAAGACTCCTCTGTGTGTTTTGTTTCTTACTTGCAAAGCAAAGGTTTTAGTTTATTCTGAGGAAGGGAAGAAGTGGAAATTGTAGAGACTGGGAGCTCACAGGGAAGTAAACTGTGGCTACTGCACTTTATATCCCAGCTGAGCAGACCACTTTAGCCAAGTATTTTAAGTGGGATTTCAGCGAGTGTTACTCACTTTGGACCCCACTACAAAGACCAGTATCCAACAGCAAGAGGCTTGGACCTACTCATTTCCATTATAGAAGGCACAGAGGGAGGGTTCATCCTGTTAACTGCACCCCAGCAAGATGAAAACATCTCAGGGAAGTGTGCCAAGCATCCACCCGTGGCTCTGGGACTCCCCAGCTCCCTGACCCCTGGATGCCCAGCTGCACAGTGCCAACTGATGGCTCAGGAACATCCTGCAGTGACTGTGGTGTCCAGCACTGTCCCAAGCAAGCAGTGCTTCATCCCTGCTCTCAGAGAGGCCAGGGTGCCCCAGGTAACAGCACTGGCAGGAGCATTCCTGCAGCTTTCTGAAAGCCTGGGGGTGTGACACACCTGACCTGAGCGTCCCTTCGCTCTCACAGCATGCACATGTGTAACCAAAATGAAGCTCTTGCTGTCAGTCAGCTGTTGGCAGTGATACAACTGTGGTAGAGTGTTGTTTTAGATGGTAAAATACACAAAATGAAACATCAGACTGAATTCTTACCAAAATTTCGATGCTGTTGAGCATTGGGGTTAGCTGCTGCTTCATGAGTGTTTTCCACTGGCTTAAGATAATGTCCAGCATGTAAGATAAGGCCATGATTTAGCAAAGCATTTGTGCTTGTGCTTAAATCTGCCCTTATTGAGATAGACACTGCATGAATACCCATGTGCCTTGTGATACAGGGACAAACCTCAACTGCAGCATATAAATGTCAGTTATGTAGCTGTCAAAACTACCCCTTTAATGTCTTTTCCTGGTAGCACAGTGGCTCTCTTGGATTAAGTATTTAATTAATCTTCATCTAAAAGGTCCTGAGAACAGTCCTATAATGCTAACAAATGTACATAAATACCAGAACTAAAAAAAGTTAAACTCATGGCTCAAAGCAAAACAAATATTGCTCAGAATACTTGTTTAGGTTAAGATCACTAGCTGTAAACTGTGCACTCTAGTAGCAAACAAAAACTTGTTGGCCTAGAAAAAAACCCCAAAACATTCAATGTCTATAGGATTGGCAGCACTAATATTACTTTACAATGTGGAGTAAGAATAAAAAACATCAGTGTAACATTGCAAAATGATCCACCTAACCTAAGCTTATGTAAACAAGTACGCTTTGACAATGTTTATACGTCTAGGCGTGATCCTGCACTGGGAGCTGGACGGGTGGAGACACAACAAGGGTGACAGGAGCCATTCCAAGGTGGTTCCAGCTGCCCAGATCCCACTGCAGGAGAGAGGCTCAGGGCTGTGAACCTGCAAACCTGTACTGGCATCACTAGTTCTACTCCTGGGAGCAGCCCACTGCAGGATTCAGTTCAGCAGGACTATACACGTAAGTAAGGATTATTCACAAACATAAGGCATTGCAGAACTTGGCCCTAAAATTTCTATTTTCAGCAGAGAATCCCTTATCTATATACAAGGTCATATTTTTATATATCAGAAAGTGTCTAAAGTAAGGGTCACAGTCACTATATGCTATGCTCAGTAACACAGTTAAGATGCTGCATATTGGCTTCAGATACTGCAAACCATTTGCTTCATTAAAATCAAACCAACTATGAACCTTTCTCAAAAGAATTAAATTAACTGTGAAAATTGAAAATGAACAGGCTCTGTTTTCAAGGTTAAAAGGAGACATTAACAGAAATCAGCAACTCCCATTGTAATAGTTTTCCAGTGCCTTTCCTTCTGAGCAGTGAGCACTCTGAGGCTGCAGCTGGTGGTGGCTCCAGTCGTGCCTGGTGTCCTCGATGCTGTGGCTACTGCCGCTCCCCTTCCACCCGCTTCTTCCGAACTGCACCAGCAAAACAAGGACAGAGAGAGTCATTGCTGCCTCGCCAGGCATCCAGGGCTGTTCCCACACACACCCCCTCCCCAGTAACAGGAAACCAGCACAGAAGGGAGGAGCTCCTCAGAAATGCTCAGAAGAATTATGCCCACAAATACCATAATTAATAATCATAATGCCCAACAAAACAATCGTACCTAAATGGCATTTTTTTGTATCACGGACTGTAGAATTTCACCAAGTGTTCATATCAATACATTTTCCACAAAAATCACACTCTGAGCTAAAGGTTTTAGATGATAAAGAAATCACCACTTCCTGCACTTCCTTCCAGTGATTCCATTAAGTTTTTTATTACAGTTTTATTGTTCTTTTAAAAGCCACTAAATTGATACTGGTCTGCTCTAGTCTGCATGGCAGTGCTCTGGATTACTTAAGCTTTAGGCATCAAAAATTAATAACTCCTGTAATTGCACAGTGTATACTACAGATAAGCAATAATCATATTTTTTTAGAAAACAATTTGAAGTACTCTTAAGTACCAATATTAGTGAATATTGGCAAAAAATATAATATTGGACCTTCAGTTCCTGTTTAAACTTCACATGGTCTGACTGCCTCAACCATCTGATAGTTCATTAACTCTGGTTTTTCACTGGGAACCACATAGGTTGAAATTGCCATTTAGCAAAACAGAGTGTTAAAACTTGTATTATGAGCAGGATTATTCTGACAAGCAGTCCCATGTGAATTTTTACCACACTTAAGATACATTATACCTGGTATAGAGCAGGTGTAGTTGCTACTCCACATTCTAATAAAACTGAGTCTTTTCCAGACAGATAAGATTTGTGAGGTTCTCCTGCTTGTGGGATACAAAATTTAGTGCTATGTCAAAGTGTCATGTCCTGTTTCTGATATTGAACGGCTGAAGCACAGAACAAAGCAGTAGAACTTGATGAATGAATGCTTTTCACCACAGAAAGTCAATAAAAACAATATACTGCTAAACATCCCATTACTTTAATAAGAAGAGGTTTTTTCATCATGCCTTCTTGGCAAACACACTGCATTATTCCAAAGCCTGCAGTGTAGCATCAGTCATTTCTGTCTGCTTTCAGTGTTTTGTTCCTTCCTTTATTTTATTTTATTGAATTTCTTTAGGAATTCTGTCCTACAAAATCTTGAACAAAACCAAACAACACAAATATAGGAAAAGGAAGATTAGGACATAAGTCTAGTGGCAAGTGGTAAAATAATGGGAAAAAAGGTTTTTCTCTCTTTGTAGATGGGATATTTCAAATACCCTTCTGGGACACTGATAGTTTTAGGAAAAATAGTATATAGCTGGAATGCTTAGGTATTGCTAAAAATTAAAATTTCAAAACCCCAAAAGTATGTATGAAAGAAAAAGGTTTTAGCTCAACTTTTATCTTAGTTCCCACAGAGAGGAACCCAAGCTGAAACCCACAAAGACATCATGGTACCCAGTCTGAAGCAGAACTGATTAAAAATACAAAGTTTAATTTTTTTCCCTTCTTACTCAGAACTTCTTCTGCCCAGTTATCTCCTTCATATTCCGTGTACTGAGCCCACAGGACAGAGCATGTCACACTCTGGTGACACTTGCAGGGTTTTATTGTCTTTGCCTTTGGTCACACAGGCAGGAGGGTCTGGTTTGCTCCCTTGGCTGGGCAGGCCTGCTCCACCATGGGCTGGACAACAGAGTCAGGACTTCTGTGTCCTCTGAAAAAACAGGACGGGTTTGACTCCTCATTTACTGACCAGAATCCCTGATAGAGCAGTGAGAAATTTAGGACATTCCATGGTAAAAGCTAAAATAACTCCTCTTCCCAGAAGGAGCAGGAGAAAATCAGTGGCTCCTGATCACAGTAAGATCTTTGCAGTTTTCTATTCTAGAGCCTGAGGAGCTTTGCATCTCCTCTCACACAGAACACTGTATTCAAAATTCCATCAGAATCTACAGACAGGGAGAGCAGTGCCTGGGAAGGTCAGGGCTTGGCTCACAAAGAAATGATGAGTAAATGTAGTGGCATCTTACCCAGATCATTGTTTTTAGTGATAGCTGCTGCTACCCTGGTTCTTGGACCTTGTTTTGTGAACTGGTATCCAAACTTGAGAATCCTGGAGTTCTCCTCCAGCATCTTGGCAATCTCCATCTCTACAGCTGTCCCAAGCTGCTGCCTCTGTGAAGTGTCCCCAGAAGAAAAGGAAACATTTGTTTTCATATGAGAGAGAAGTAAGTGGCTGTGTTTAAGTACTGGGCTGCAAACTACAAAGAGAATCCCATCCCTGGAGATTTGCCCTGGGTTTTGTATTTAGCTTTGAGTAGTTTTATTGAGAAGTTTTCCACTCTTTGGTAGCACTGACTGGGGACATGAGCTGCAGAATGGCTGAGCCACAGTGGCTGCCTTGACTCTGCCAGAGCCTCCTAGTAGAACCCTCTGGGAATCCATAGAAAAGAGAAACAAAAGTGAACTTCCCCAATGGTCTCTCTTTACCTGGTTGTCAATTTTAATCTCTGTTAGGGATTCATTCTTTTTCAGTGCATCAATCAGTGCCAAAATTCCTGTCCCAGTGATGAAGTTGGATTCTACATTCAGACTCTTCAGTGTTTTGTTCACTTTCAACATATCTGCAAATGCCTGAAGGGTCAAAAAGAGGGAACATGAGATAACATCTTGAAAGTTTCAGGGAATAACAGGGAATCTGCAAAACATAGCTTAGTACCAACAAGAAATAAAACATAAATATGCTTAGAAGAATGAAGAGGTAGCTCAGAAGAGATTATATTTCTACTTTGCATAGCCATAGGGAATTCTTGCAAGGGAAAATAAAGAATGTATCTAATGCAGACATGGACCTATTTAAAATTTGTTGTGCTTTTTTTTCCCCAGTAACGTTAAAACTCACAATAGCTACGGGGTCATTGCTTCGTGTAGCTGCAAGGCTGAATGTCTTCACATGTGTGTTGGTTTCCAGGGCTTTTGCAAATTCTTTCAGTGTTGGAATAGGAATATTCTAGGGTAAGAAGACAAATGCAGTAATTAAGAAAGCCAGTCACACTGCTGATTTTAATTATAATGAAACTGATTGATGAACAGTTGCAGTCTGTGCAAGTGAAGCATCCCTGATGCTTTCAGGAGTATGTCAGAATGGACAGAACATGCTCTGTCCCCCAGAGCTGCCATGGCAGTGCTGCTGGAACTGGGTCAGGCCAAGGCCAGCGTGTGACCATTGCTGAGCTACTTTCCTATTCCTCTGCCAGTTGTTCAGTCCCCTCGTGCCAGCTCCTCCTCCAGTTGCCTGTGTGGGCTAATTGAATTGGCCAGTGATGATTACATAGTACCCATGAGAGATCTTCCTCGACAATCTGCTGAGAAAGGCAGCCAAAGGGAGTCACCCCTTGGGCTTTTAATTGGCATTTAATTCAGTATCAGGAATTGATGACCTTGGAGCCTGTACAACAGTCTCCTTTCCCCACCCCTTCCCTGGGTGTCCTGCTTTTTCTGATCAGTAAAGAGAGACAAAATTTGAAGATAAAAGGCACAGGCTTTGGAAGTATTTGAATAAATCCTCCTATGATGACATGGATGGAACCACAGCATCTACCTTTATGTTGTTGAGATTGATTTCTGTGAGAGTAGGATCATTTGCTTTTATCCTTTGTAAACTTGCTTCCACGTTGGTTGGATTAGGTGGCTCCTCAAAGATGGGCTTGACCTTTTCACCTTTCACCACATCTGCAACACAAACTCTCATTAAATGTCAACCGAGGAACAGGCATCATCACTCTGGCTGTTCCATTCCCATTTAGGTTTGCACTGCAGCAATCCAGGAAGGGTTTATGAGAACCATAATACCTGCAAGCAGGAGTTTTATCCCTGTTATCTCTGCCATGCCCTTTGCACCCCCTGTGCTCCCAGAGCTGTCACTGCAGGCTGTGCTCACAGAGGCTGGGCAGCATTGTCATGGGCAAATTCCTCCTTTATACACAAAATCCCTGAACAATTAATTGGAGCCAAAGCAGCTTCGAAGACTATTGTTTGGGATGTGATACACTGCAAGGGCTGCTTTGTACTTTGTCTAATATCTGTAAAGAAAGGTGTGCTCAGAACTTGCCCATTATATTAGTGAGAAAATGTCCCTGCACCTATGAATAGACTATGCTACACAAAGCAACATGAGCAGGAGGCCCCTCAGTTTCCTCCTCTCAGCTGATACTATCAGCCTTACTATAAATTCAATTAGCTCTTGTAAAATTGCAACATCTGCACTTTCGAAATAATAAAACTATCAAAGCATGAAAAGTAAGTCTGTCTGCCAGAACCAAGATTTATGAAATCTTTGAGTAGTCATGTTCCAAAGAACTATGGTATTTAGTGCTGGAAGCTATGAGCTATAAATATTCTCAGAGAAGCAGAAAAATCATAGCTTAGAACACAATTAGTGCTTCTAATTCCCACGCATATAGTTGTGGAGATTAATTTATTAACCCTGACCACCCAAACCACTAGAAGCAAGAAAGGAATATGCTGCTGACCACAAGTATGTTTGAATCCTTTTATTTTATGCTGCAGACAGGGGGAGATTTTGAAGACTTGTGCTCAAGTCTCAGTGTATTATACATTGCTGTTCATTGCAATGGGTAAAAGTTCATGCCATATCATGAGCCAAAAGAAAACCACATCTTTTTTTAGAACTCATACTCATAGTAGAGGTGGTCATAGACAAATCTTGAGCTGGTTTTCACTCTGCTCCCTTTGATGACAAACTTCTTTTTTTACTAATACCCTGAGAGACCTCATAACACTTCAACCTTCCTAGGGAGCTGGGAATTGAAAACCATGTTTAAAGAATTCACCTTGGATGCAAGGATAGAAAGAAAACAATAAAAGCAAAGCATTGTTTGCACTTATGACAACACCCTGCCAGACTGGGAGCAGGGGAGACACAAGCACCCCGTCCTCAGGTTAGACATCACAATGTACTCAGTCTAGAGTTGGGAGGAATTTTCATTTTCTACTTCTTGTTGCTTTCCATGAGTCCTTCTTGTTTCTTTAATCATGGTGCTGTTTTGCCACATTGATGAACAAATTTTTACTGAAGCATTTCACTTGGCTAAGGAAAGGTGTTGCTTTTGGACCAAAGAACACAGAGATGTGACAGTGATTTTCTTTTTCATAGGTCTGTGATTGGAGCATAGTTTAGCTGACTCACATAGCTGACTTTTTGACTCAGTACAACAAAAATATTCTGAAATCTATGAGGATTAGTAATGCATGCAGTTGCCTGTCATGAGATAGATGGCAGCTCTCACAGGGCCCCACTGGGGACACTTGCAGAGCAGCTTTACCCTGAGAAAAATGAAGTGGCACGGTGACTTCTACTTTCCCACCTCCCCTTTAGCACTGGGAGATGGAAAGGAAAGCCCTTGGTAAAGATAGCTGCTGTTCTCATGGCCTTAGAAGAAGAAAACATTTTTTTAGTACTGTTTCCCTAGAAAAGGCATTCCACAGTTTTGTCTTAAAAAGTAAAGTTTAGACCACTTGATATCCCAGGGCCTGGAGGTGACAAGCTCTGGATCAAGGCTTGACAGCTCTCAAGAAAAGCTTGGAATTCAGATGGACCCATTTCTCCCTCCATCCAGCCTCCTATGGGTTGCTGAGCTAAGATCTGATTCACCAAGGGTCTGTTTATTTAGTGCAAACATTTCCAGATTTGTTTTTAGTAACTAGAGCTGTTTCTTTTGGGGGATTTCCGGAAGGATTCCTTTCCCATGTCCCTAGGGAAGCACAGAATTGTTTACACACACTGCCATAGGAGCCAGGTGGAGCTGGGAGGTCAGAGGGAGGGGCTGGGGCAGGACCACATCCAGGCAGCCTCTGCCTCCCTGGGAATGCAGCTCCAGGTGACTCTGTTCAGTGACAGATGTGACTCTGACAGGATTCTGCCACATCTGAGCCCAGTGGTTACAAGTCATTTTTCAGGTGTGTTAGTACAGGTACTTGGGGCATGATGGCCTGGCCTGAACTGTGGCCAACTCTTAGCTACAGCTCACTCTGTTTTCTGCCTGCTGCCTAAACTGAAATGGAATGGAAATGGAAATCTTGGCCACTTAAATACTCCCACTCTTTCAAACACCTCTGCAAAGCCAGATACTGCTCTCTAGGAAAACAAATTTCCTCAGGAATGATCTGTTTCTGTACTACTGCTGTTATTATAATGAATTTTAAGATTGTATTTACTTTTAAAAAGTCACCTTTCATGAGTAATTGGATCAATCAAAGTTAGGCCCAGATACATTACACTGAATTAGACCAACAGACCCCACCTACAGGTGTAGAAGTCCCTAAAGGCGACATGCAGCCCGCAAAAGAAATCTGCTTGCTTACTTCTCACGATTCCTTTTCCATCTTTACCACGGGCTCCTGCTTCATCAAATTTTGGGTTGTTGACCATGTTGTGCACTCCAAGAACAGCTGAAATGTGTAAACACCAGCAAGAGGATACAATGTTAATGGCAGGAACACAGACTGCAGGAAATTGTAATTTAGCTCTCCAAACAAAACCCCCTTTATAAAATGTGTGAGTCATGCCTGCTTGTAGGGAGAGTCTTTTGGGCTCCAAATTCTGGAGATACAGACACTTTTAATATAGATTTTTGAACAATTGAGTCAATGTAGAATGTATATCCCCAAAGTGCCAGCTGGAAGGAGCCACTGTGGGTCATCTTGTCCAGCCTCTCCCTCAGGCAGGACTGTGGCCAGCATTAACGAGGTCAGACATGGCATTGTCCAGCTGGAGTCTGAAAACACCCAGGGATGGAAATCCCACAACCTCTTGGGTAAATTGCTTCAATGCTACACTCCTAATCACTTTTCTTCCCTAATACACAACCTGAAATTCTTAATACTCCAATGTTCTATTGTTTGGTGTATCTGAGAATTTCACTGTACATGTGATGAGCATAATGCATTGGCATTCCCACCAGGGTTTCTTATGAAAGCACATCGATATTAACATGCTTGGGAAATAATCAGAAGGGGTGAAGATACTCAGGTCTAATCACCTAGCAACCAATTTTCTCATTCAAGGGGTTAGATTCCCAATTTCCTCATGGATTCAGGATCTTTATCCACTGCATGCTGTGACAAGTTTATCTGGCTGGTTGGGATGTCAGAGTTGAGAGGAGGTAGCAGTAGGATGCCACGAACAATGAGGATGCAGTAGGATCAGTCACTCCATGACAGTGCCAGCACCCCAGCCTCCAGTCCACTGCCCACCCTTCCCTTCCCTTCCCTTCCCTTCCCTTCCCTTCCCTTCCCTTCCCAAATCACATGAGCTGGTTCATCTTTCCCCCCGGCCTGACACATCAATTTTAAGTAGACAAGTTCTAAAATGGAGCAGCTGTCGAGTCACACTTTAATCACCCTGGGCAATGTGTGGCCATGGCTTGGCCACCTCAGACAAGCACCAGGAGCTTGAGGGGTCATGGTGAGACATTCCTGGTGGCAGGTCTGGGCAGAGAAGAGCTGGACATGTGGGAGGGTCATACCTATATGTTTTCTAACCTGCAAGGTCATAGAGCTCGGTGTCTGAAGCACTGGCCAGGGCCTCTTCTAGTTCTGGATCCAGGGTCACTTTCTCTTCTGTGCGGGTTTCTATGGGCTTTTCTTTAGGGATAAATATTTTTCCTAAGATAAGAAAAAAAGCCAGAGTGAGTAATGAATTATTGGAACAACTTATTTGCCTCCTGGCAGCAGAGGAATAGGTCTGGGAGAGTGGAACTGCTTAGAAATATTATCACATGCATGTTTTTCTCTTCCTTACTTGATGTTATCCTCCACACCAGGATCTTAATAAGTCTAAAAATAAAAGGTGCAGATTACTGCTCTGTGTTGGTGATTGTTATTTTAGGAAATTTGCTCTCAGGAGGAGTCCCAGCTGGGATTTTTTTGAAGGTCCTGTGTCCTTAAATAGGCAGAATCAGGTCTACACAAAAAGCTTGCAGAAATGTCATCCATATACTTAAATGAGGCACTAGGAGCAGTTAAAACCATTCTACTACAAGAATGTTTCAGTTCATGAACTTCCATACTTGATCCTGAAAGCTCATCAAACCTGTTCTCCCCAGTAACTCAGTTTAATTCCCAGCTCCTCCAGAGTATTTTCCCTTTGTGTCTCCTGATGATCATCCACATAAATAGGCTGATCCTGATCATTTGTGCAGACTGACAAGTCTGAACTGAACCACATGTTGCCCAAGAAAGACTTCTGACATATTTGTCTCTCTCTGCATCCTGCTGATACCTTTGGGTTAGCAGATGTGTTTCCATGCAATATTCCCCTAAGACTGAGGTCACTGGCCTGTCTGCTGAAATGAGGAAACTGCAGGATAAACCCAGCAGGAACAGCACAATGATTCCACTACTCCTTCAGGCTGCTATGTTGGTTAACCTCAGTGCTGTGGTGATGTAACTGCAAATGCTTGGAGTGAGGCCCTTTAAATGAGAGCTGGAGCTGCACTCCAGCACCGGCACTGCTGGGCTTTGCACCCACTCAGCTTTCCTGACCAGCCCCTCCAGTCAGTGCTACTCTGGGTGATGCCTCAGCCAACAGACAGCGCCATTGCTCCAAAAATTAAGTGAATTCCCATGATCTGCTGTCCACTGTGCTATAGTTCCCTCACCTTGTCCCCAACAATTACTTCTCAAGCAGCCTTTAATTAATCCTGTTGTAATGAAGCTGTGATGATCTTTGGTGCAGGCAGCTTTGGCCCACTATCAGCTTTAAATTTTCATTTTTTTGCAGCTTTGTACACTCTAGATGTATTGCTTGAAGTATTACATCTAGTCATGTGACTTTTTAAAATGTCTCTAAAATAGTTTAATTTTAACTGCATTAGTCATATTGTTACCATTCATAAATGTAATTCTGATATTTAGTATTGAATTGCAAATGCTTTGACTCTGTTTTTTCAACACTGTCATCTTTTTGTGACTTCATTTTTCCCCATTATGGTCCAAAGTATCATTTTCATGTAGTAATTTCCAATTCATTTATATCTTTTGTACAAGTTTGTCTACATCCATTTTTATGCTGTCAGTTTTCATGACTCAAGTCACTGAATAAGCTCAGAAAAAAATTTTAATGGAAATTTCTGAAACTCTGGCAAGATTTATTGATACACGATTCAAATTATTTACCTTAGAGATATTTCTACCAAGGCTAAATTACTTCTGAGTACAAAACTGGACAGAAAGTTATGTAGAAAAACAAAGTAGTATCATGGTATGATTTATTTTTTATGTGATACTTTAAGCAAGTAATCTTTTCAGAAAAGGCTTCAAGAAGATAAAAGCCTTTGGTGAGTGAAGGTAAGAACCGTTTTAACTGTGACTGCATTGGGTCACAGAAATTCCAGCAGCATCAAACAAAAACCAAGTGGAAATCCTGGGTAAGAAACTCTCTGCAAAGATAACTCAGTCATGCTCTCCAGATTCAATAGCAGCACAGGTGGTCAGACTTCAGACTCTGTGCTACCACCTCATCTGAAAAGCTGGTTGGAAACTTCCAGACACCACTGGCCAAGACCTAACTTGATGCCAGCTTGACATAAGGAAAATAATTCATTGCTGTGCTGGAAGCTAGAAAACCAAAATCAACCAGAATATCTGAGTAAACAATCAATAGTGAGGAATACTGTCCATCAGGTGTTTTCCTCTCAGATCACTGGTGGCTCCTCATGAGTTTCAAGTATTCAGTAGGTTGTTTGAGATATTGAGGGAATCCTGCTGATCTCTATCCTGACTGGTAACACTGCTCTGTAGCAGCAATCTCCACAGATGCTTGTGGACACAAAGCATCTCCATCAGGCAGTAAGTGATGTTTCCCAGGCCCAAACCCAAGTCACACTTTTAACAAATACTGACCCAAAGTCTGTGCTTTCACACATAACATTGCAAGGGGACACAGCACCTTGGTGTATATATATATGTGTTGTAGTTGGTCTTTATATGGTGTTTATGGTCAATATATGGTGTAGCTGGTCTTTCTCTAAGGACCTTGGATAGATGAAGGTTAAGTATCTTGCATAGCAAGAAATCAAGGGGTAATGGAAACCTCATACCTTTTCTGTACAGTTCACATATATAGGAATACAATTTTAAACATTTGTTTCAGGCATATGTAATTCTTGGATAACAGCCCAAATCTTGTTGGATGTGTATATGATTCCCAATGATAATTTCATTTAACACATTCTTGGCAAATGTTTCACAAAAATAATTCTATTATTGGTTATATGAAATATTTAAAGGGGCAAGGTCATGTCAAAGATAGTAATATATATCCTTAATGTATGTGGGCCTTGCTGGCATCCAGTGGTGTTTTTAAAATATTCTTTTTACTGCTATCTAGATAAGAACATTCCACTGTGAAGCAATGCTGTACCACAGCAGATGGAGGTTAGAAAAACTTCTATATTTAGCATATTATTAGGAATTTATTACCTGTGCACCAGCTACAAAACCGTGTGTCTATAGACAGCTGTCAACCAGTTTTCCTTCATTAATTAAGGACAGAGTTTAAAGATTCAGGAGATGTCTCCTAGTTCCACATCTGTACATTGTAAATTTATTATCCAGGACATCATGGAATTCACTGACAAAATAAAATATAGATTGTGGCTTCCTTGATTCAATGGTCCAAATTAAAATTTATTATTTGGATGAAGCCTTGGAGGAATAGTGACATTTTATTATTATAAAGTGAGATTTATGAAGAAAGGCTGCTGCTCTTGGTGCTCTTTATATTCACACTGTGTTTTAGAAGGTACTTTATTATTACTTTATTCTATGTGGTATAATTAATGTTGGCTGTGTTATCTTTTGCTTCTAGAATATGCTAATGTTCTGTGCTAAGTCTTAATAGCAATAGCTTAACTATCTACCAATGAAAAACATGGTGACAACAGTTCTGTTTATACATAACTTGAGCTACTTTGTTGTTAACAAGACAAAAATAATCACACTTCTGTATAAAAATAATACATATTCTTAACTGCAAACCAAAATTTAGTTGCAGTAAAATATAATTTTTTTTTTTACACAAGCACAGAAACCCGAAGTGTGTGGAATCCCAAGTGCTTTCTTTAAATGTGAAATTTTAAGTGTGCATCACTGCAATTCTCCCCTTCTTTTGGCCAAACTGGGGTAAGTGTCTGGAGCGACCTGGATGATGACTGAAGCAGATTATTACAAACCAGGGATTTCTGAGGGTGAGCAGAGTATTATCTTGGCTCAGCTTAACAGCAGACCCACTCCTTTTCACCCACTGCAAGAACAAGACTTCTGTTGAAACTGAAATTTTATATGGTTCATGGTTTCCTCAAAAGAGGCTACGGGAAACAAAATCCATTGACAACCAGAGGGAAGAAGAATTCAGGGAAAAGCACTACAGAGAGACACAGAAACGTGGACCAAGGTAAAAGGAAAGTAAATTCCTTATAAAAAAGGAAATTCACTGAGAACAGTCATGAAGCCATAGATGTCATTTTACCACTTGGTTCAGCCAGGTCTATTTTCATGCATTGTGCAAATGCCCCCATTAAAACAATGCTGACATTGTTTTAAATGTCAGTAAAGCAAGGAAATGAGATCCCCACCTTCTTATACAGTAATAATTAACTACCATATGCACATCTATAGGAGGATTTATTAACTGAGCAGGGAACTACTTTAAGTGTATTTTCCTGAAATGAGTTTTTTATTTATTGTTATTTAAGGAGGGGGAGAAAAAGGAATTTGGATATTGCAGTTGGTAGGATTTTAGTAGCAAGTCCAATCTGAAAACATTTGGAAGATTTCACCTTTGTTTATAGTTTGCAACATTTGGAGCAGCATTTCTGATATGTCTTCTCTATTCCTTCTTTCTAATGTCATTTGACTTTTATGAATAAATATAAATTGCCACTATTTTTATTTTAGTATTTATTTATTTATATTAAGTATGTACTTGGTATTTATACAAGTCAAAATGGTACAAGCCAAAACTCAATAAAACACAGAACAACGGGAAATAAACCCACTTATATTAGCTGTAAAAAATCTCCTTTTATTTAACATCAAATTTTTAAGGATATTTACTTAATTTTATAACACAAATGCATTTTCTGCCGTAATTGTAAAACAATAATGTGCTTTCTTTTCCTATAAAGTGTAGCTCAGATTATTGTACTTTCAAGAAAATGCCTGGTTACTTACTACTTCTGACTTCTCAATGAATCACTGACTACAGTGAGTGCCTGTTTGTTCTCAATTACAGAATGCTACACTGACCTTGGGAGTGAAATTCAATAATCCTGGAAATCTGCCTTGCATAAATCACAGCCACCTGATTCACTTTTTCCATTTTACACTATTCTTTTCTGTTGAGGCTTTCTTAAACGCCTCCCTACAAATATTCTATAAAAATGGAGCTAAATTAGCTCTTACCAAGAATAAATTTGTATTATGGAGAAGAAAACACGCCAAGTTCAAGTAAGCATGAAGCTGAAAGCCAGTAGTAATAAAAATGCAGTATCCTAATTGTTGCTGTTCTATTGCTCTTGGATTAGTGTCAGCATATTCTATGCCTTAAAAATTATGACAATGGAATAGGAAGGCTGCAAAGATAAGCACTCCAAAGTTATTAA